AGGGCAAGCACACGCATGCATGATGGGTGTCTTCCAGTCCAGGGTGGATGCAGGTTACGTCCTCAGCAGTGGAAGAATAATTCATAAATACGAGGATCCTCCCTTACTTACACTTTGAAAATCCCACCTTAATTGTGTGCACCTTATGATTACAGGCCATTAGAGACCATTACATTAGTAAACGAACTAGGAGATTTCAATCGTGCAGTGCAAACTCTTGTGAAATGCAAACGTGGTTTCACATATTAATTGCTTCTAATTAAGGAGGAACATTTTAGCCAATTAGCTTTTGGAATTTAAGTGTAAGCAGAAGGCTCATGCAGAGATTTGCTAATCGCTTCCCGCACGGCAGCTGTTTGCCGTTGGTGCAGACATATACTCTGTGTGCATAATTATGCATACACCTACGGTGGCCGAGAGGCCCAGGACTCTTTTGTTACAGGAGTTGTGTAGACTGCAGTCACCCATTCTTTTGAAATTATCAGGTAAAACGACTGGGGAGGAAATGAGGACAGTGAGTGAGAGTAAGAACGTCAGACCGAACCAGATCCCCGTTCTGCATCTCACTTGACTGCTGGAGGTGCTGGCTGGTGTTGGGCATGGCATGACTTCTCCAGATTTCCTGGGTATAAGAGGACAGCAGTCTCATGCAGCTCTAGTCTCCCGTGATTCATAACCAGCTCCCGTGACCCATGAATTCCACGCTAGGTGGGAGCTGTAGACACAAAGATAAAGCATCCATTGATATTGGGGCCAAGCGAGCTTACTGACACTTCAGCTGTCAACATACAAGTGTTCTGGGCTGGCAGCTGCTCTGCAGCCCATGGGTGTCCTGAAGGAGAAGGTCTTTGACCAGCTCTTGGCGATCTGTTCCGTGCTGTCTTTTTCAGACCTCTTCCTCATTTTAGTCTTTTCTGTGGTATCAGCATCGCTTTCTGGACCCCTGGCCATGTCTCCTCTGGCGGGCTGCTGTTCCCCTCAGTCCGCAGCAGGGAGCCTCCTGCTCTTCTCTGTTCCTGCCTCATCTTGCTTCTCTTGCTCAGAAGAGGCTCTCAACAGGAATCCACCTACTGCTGCTGCTGATTGAACTTCGTAATTATGAAGATTATTCTTTTGGCATCTTGACTTGGGCTTTATGCTGCAATCCTCATTATTATATAATAACTCACCAGTCAGAACTTGCTCATCAATTTGTCCTCCATCTACGTGATTTTTTTTCTTTATAAAAATAAAACAGGTTCTTATCCACCAGCCCCTGTTCCACAGAAATACAAGCTGGTGTCCATTGTGTACAAAGATGGTGCTTTGGGACAGAGGCATTTCCTGGGCTTGCTTTAGTGTGAGCTCTTACCTGACTTGACTTTTTTGCCTTGTTGGGAGCTTACATCACACTCCTGTACCCTCAAGTCCTGTAGGTAGGAAGCAGCTGAAGGAGGAGAATACTCTCCAGGAAAAAGAGGGATGTAAAGGGGTTTAACTGACTTTGAGAAAGACATGGCTGCGGATGCCTCTTCTGATGGACACGGCTCACCGGGGTGTGTCTCATTCTCAGAGCAAGAGCTACCTCTACAAGGCTGGCTCCCTTCACAGCATCTCAGCTGAAAGAGCTTGTTCCCTTCGTCCCAAGAAAGGAAATCCCTAAGGAGTGCTGGCAAGCCAATGATAATAAATATGCCCTGCCATGTCGGTCGTGTTGCTTCGGCCACGCCAAGCTGAATTTGGGTTATCTCTATAGCTCATTTCTTTTTGTAACACTGCCGCGGGTCTCTCTGTCTTCCCGAGGTCCGCTATGTTCCTAACAGATCACAATGTCCTTTCAAGATCCTCCCGATGGCAGTTGTTGGGATTTCCTGGCAGGGAACCTACGCAGAAAATGGCGTCCAGCACGCCTTCCATCATGACAATGTGAACAATTGAACAGATTCGTGTTCGAGCTGTGTTCTCATTAGGTGCAGCCTTCATTAAAAGCAATTAAAACTTGGCAAATAGTCTATTTTGGACGGCTAATAGGCCATCTCCACTTCTCCTTTTGGGAGGTCAGTTGCCAGTTACCAAAAATGAAACACCTGCCTTTACATCAACGTGGCTGCTGCCCGAAATTTAGCAGCATTCCCGAAGCTGTTAAATATGTCCATCGTGCCAAAAAAAATGGGGCCTTGTGTTTACCTAAGTCCTGAATAAATATGGTGGATTTGGGGACACAAATCTGATGAAAAACTTCTCCATAGGCCAGTGTAAAAAATGAAGTTAGCTTACAGAGGTATATGTAATTTATAAAGAACATAAAATTGGATGGCAATGAATGGTCATTTGGGGAAACACATTTAAAGGAAAGTGTCTCTCAATTTGAATTCCAATTAATGCAATTAATGCTTTACATGTACAGTTTCAGGGAGTGCATATTCCTTATGACTTCTGAATGAACCAAGTGAATGTTATGTATAAAATTCACCACTGAAGGGCTGAGGAAAGGGTGGCTGATCATGCCAGGAGGTAGGAAGATGAGGTTAGAGAAGAGAGAAATCCCTGGTTGACACTTTATGATTGTTTTTCCCAGGTAAAGTATCCACGAAGGAGGCCACTGCATGACCCGAGCAGCTTACTGCTTGGTCTGTTTGCTGCGCCCGGATGCCTCGCAGGAGGGGCTCAGCAAGGACGTCACCTTCTCGCAGCAGCCCTCGCATTCCTGCGCGAGGGCCCGTGTCACTGTGCAGGTGAGGGGCTGGGAGGTGAGGCTGAGACGGGGGGCGGTGGGGGGGATTGAACAGAACTCAGTGTGGGGTCCAGAGCTTGTTCTGATTCTTTCGGTGGACTCTGTCGCCTCTGGTCCAGATCTCTTCGCCACCACCACGACTCTCAACCCTCAGAAGTCAGCGAGGGCCACACGCCACCTCTGATATATATACAGATGAGGACAGGGGCCCTGAGAGATCAGGAGCCTTGCCCAGGTCAGAGTTGGTCAGCTGGAGCCCCCTCGGTGGGAGGGATGGAAGAGGGTCTGGATCGGCCCCCTCAACTCTCTCCCCGCCCGCCTGTTCTGTCATCGGCCCACACCCTCGACGGAGGCCCGCCCCAGGGCGGTGCAGAGCACTAAAAAGGGAATTCCTCTCTCATATCCCAGGCACAGAGTTCACGGATCTCCACTCTCCCGCAGATGAACATGTGTTTTTTGTGGAAAGACCACACAGAGGAGTTGGGATCTCTTATGTTGTTTCCAGATCTGGCCCGCGTTGGCCGTGTGGCCCGAGTCAAATTATAGAACCATGGCCACATTCAGCTGGAAGGAATTTAGGGATTGCCTCTGCTGGTGCATCAGAACCACCAGGACAGCTCATTAAAGACAGACTCCTGGGCTTCAGGCCCAGGGTTCTGACTCAGTGGGTCTGGGGTGGCACTGAAGAGCCTGCTTTTCTAGTAAATTTCCAAAGCGTGCCAACGCCACCGAGCCACGCAGCCCGCTTGTGTATCACTGGCCTCCGATAACCTTGTCCTAAGGTGGGCCAGCAAACTTTTTGTTAACGGCCAGCTGGTAAGCATTTTAGGTTCTGCAGCACGACTCAGCTCTGTCGGTGGAGCTGGACAGCAGCTGTAGGAATGGCTCTACAGGAATGAGCGTGTCTGTCTTCTGATAAACCTTTATAAACACAGGAGGCCAGTGGGCTGCAGTCCGCTGACTCCTCACCACAGGCTTACAGCAGTTGGAGTCCTTCCCCACCACGCCTCGCTGCCGGCTGTGAAATGGGGAAAGCTATTCCTGGTCTCACTTCTCTCCTTAGCTACGATGAAGACAAGGTACAACCAGATGGTACAAATTCAGAAAAAACATTTTCTGTCCGTTTCCATCAGTCCCATATTATCAGCTATACTGTTTTTCAGTATGGCACCTTCATTTATTTTAATAATCATTGGATTGGCTCTATAAATATCCCCTCTAATTATTAGGCCCCATACAAAAAATAACAAGGCTGAGAGATGACAGAAGGGATCATTCCGAAGGGTAATGAAGGAACTTGGTGTCAGAAAATAAACAGAACCTTTCCAATATCAGTAATGCCACCATGGAGGAGAGCAAAAAAATGAGTATTTAACACAGTTAGACAAAAAACAACCGAGTTTATGATGGCCTGACACGCTCACTGCCTTCGTAAAGTATTTTAATTAAAAAACATTCTATAAACAAAGACATAACCAACAAGTTATATTATTTTTTATTCATGTTAGAATTTCTATCAGTGTTTGAACATTAATATTTAGAAAGTTTGTACATTTTTGCCTTCCGAGGTTTAAAATGAGAACCACACTAGGTCACAAATGGTAACTAATACACATTCCACAATTGCATGAATATTCACTCAATCTCACTCTCTTAACACTGTTAAACATTTGCTTTTCCTTGCTGTCCTTTACAATGAAAAGTGTGTCCCACTCGTGTCTCAGCAAAGTTCCAGACGTTATGGATTCATCACATATAAATTCTTTAAAAATATACTTCTGTCAAAAGACTTGAGGACTACTATGTACACTACAAAAATAAATTTTCATATAAATAAATTATATGGCATACTTTTATCTTTGTAATTGAAATGACACAAACCCATTTCTGCCAAAACTGGCAGACAATGAGACCCAGTTTGAATATTTATTTCCTTTAAACTCCTTACGCTAAAACCTACCATGAGTCCTTAATGAAAATGTTATATACTCTGAACTATTTAACATTAGTAAGCACTCTATACAAATAAAAATTCTGTTCAAAAGTAAAACATAGCTGTAATAGTGTTTCCAATAGAAATAAAATCCCTGCATTTTTCTGTTATAAACTGGCATGACAAATACTGTAGGAAAACATTCTTATGATACAAAATTATAAATATCAGCAAAGATTTTTTTTTTAAAAAATTAAAACATCCAAATGAACAAACAAGACAGACAAAATAAAACGATTTTAAAAGAGAGAGAGAAATTCTGGTTGCCTGCCAGCCCCCGAGTTCTCCCTTTGCCAATGTGACTATCGGAGAAAGTTCTATGCTGTGCAGAAAGCAGGGGCCGGGCAAATGGTCACGCACCACGCAAGCTGGGCTCAGGAAAGGGGCGAGGGCACACCTTGAGCCAGAGGGAAGCAGACCTCCGAGTTTAGCATCGTCTCTCTCCTGAACGCAGGATATAAGTTCTCTGAGCAGAGCTGAGTGTTAGGTAGACAGTGTGGCTGACAGAGGCACCAAACAGTAGAGGTGGGGCCATCGGGGCCCCTGGCAGAGGAACACACACATCTAGCAGCCACAGGTAGCTTCCGGTTAGCATCTGACAGCCTCGCAGCGAGTTCTAGGGTCTGAGGTCACTACCCTGCTGGTACTACTGGGGGCCTGTTGCCTTTCGATGAAGATTTTCCATGTGAAACAGGAGGCATAGCGGGAGCTGCCATTTGTGCTCCGACAGCAGCTTAGTCTGGGTACCGAGGGCTTTCTTGACACCCGCTGGTCTCCAGCTAACAGCCTAGGAAGACCAAGCCCCAGAGCCAGGTAACAGAACTGGCATGGAAGCCAATCTTAAAAAGATCTCCCTGGTTGGGAGGTCTGTCTGCTTATACATTCTCCAGTGGGCTGTAGGCAATTAGCATCTTCTTCCTCTTCAAAAAAGCGTCACACTGAAGGAACACTGAGACTGGTGAGAGGAGGCAATGGGTTGCTTAGGAAGTGTGCACCCATGATGTCACTGTGAATACACTGAGAACCGCCTTCCTGAAGCTCATATCCTATAGAACCTCCATCTCTGTCACCGTATGGGATGCTCACTATTTAAAGACGCAAACAAATCCAAAAGCCCCAACCAGCTGTGCAATTTAGCAAGAGAGGGTTTAAATTCTAGGGACTCAAAATATCACCTCTGGGTTTATTGTGGACCCAGAATTAAGAGGTTTTTCTACCTGTAGCAGGGTCACTGGCTCCAAAAGATTTCCAATCCACTCTGAAATGTGTGTGTGTGTGTGTGTGTGCGTGCGCGCGCGCGTGCTGGTTACCAGAGAGGTATGGAAGGCTGCGTTCTCTAGAGAATGTGCTCATGGCCCAGCTGAGGCTCCCCACCGGGCACGCTAATTTTTAATACCAACGAGGATGAAGAGATGTGAGCTCTGTACCCTGAGGTTCCAACGTCCACCACAACGATCCACGCGGGGGAACGCATCTCCTCTGAGGCACAAGCTGGGGTGTCTGGAATGGCAGCCAATGATCTTAAGAGATGCCCTGGACTTGAAGCGAGTCTGACAAAAGGACAAGGCAACGTTTACTGCTAGCCCTCGAGATACCTTGACTCTTCCAGCCTGACTCAGGCAGAGCCCGCGAGGGGTTACAGACAGTAAAAAGAAACAAAGAAAAAAAAAATCACAGTACAGTACACCGGAAACTCACACACGTGTTCACACACACAGCCCAACAGGAGAATCGCCCCCACTACGCCTAGAGAAGCCACCAGGGTTAACGTGCTTTCTTCATATCTGCTCATTAAACAACAACAAAATTATCACGCATAGCGTGTTTGAAAGTTAACAGTAACATTTCATACTACCACAGGGTTGTGATATGCAAATTTAAAATATTTTACACAGAAACCTTTACAAAATAATCCTATTACATAAGCAATATTTGCATAGAATTATACAGGTAAATTATACAATACTTAAGCAGCAGCAACATATGCTGAAATTTAAGACTAAGTTAAGCTTGGTTGTGGCACAGAGGCCAATGTACAAACAAGGAGGGGCCCCGCTGTGGCCTCCCCACTGCCCACGCTGGGGGCAGGCGTGGAGAGACCCCAGATCACACTACTTTACATCCATTCCTTCTCGTATATTACGTATGTGTACACCTCTTAAATATTTATAGAAATACTTCACAAAATAATACAATCGGTTACAGTAACACCGAACTGCTCTCCTGGCACAGAACGTCTTTCTAACTCCAAGCAGTTCTCTTCAAGCAGTTCTGATGGGGCGGGGTAGGGGTAGGGAGGGGCTTCCAATCTTTGGCCTCTTTGCTTCAGATTTTACTCACCCTTTAAAAGAAAAAGAAAAGGGAAAAAAAAGGAAGTCAAACAGAGTTAACAGGTCTATGAGTCCATATTTATGAAGTTCAGAAACCAGGAGGGTGGGGGCTGGATGAGGATGGCTTCTGGGTGGGGGCTCAGGATCCCTCCCTTGATCTGGGGGCTGGTGACGGGTGTGTTCACCTTGTGACCATTTGCTGAACTGTGCGTTCATCACACACAACCGTATGGCTTTAAAGGACCAAAAAATAGGTGAAAGGAGCAGCTGTCAGCGTCTTTCTTAAGATGCACTAACCCCCACCAGGTTAACAGCGAGGGGTGGGACCCAGACGGGCACTCAGCGGGTTCTCCAGGGATGACAGAGCTCAGACAGGCGGCCCTGCCCTTTGGGGAAGAGGTCACAGGGGTTTAGCTCGGGACACATCAACCGACGCCCAGGGGGTCCAGGGGGACGCGGCCCCCAGCTGCCCGCCCACCGCACACACCTCAGTTGGAGCTGTGGCCCCGGGGCCTCTCCTCACATTCCACGTCCTGCAGCTCTATGACCTCCACCTTGGAATCCCTCCTCTCGCACCGTACGTTAAAAGGCACATGGGGGTCCTCAAAGAGCCCGTGGTCAGTCTCGGGGTAGTCCTCGTAGCCCGGGCAGGGCCCCCCTCGCGGGTTCTGGCTGGGCCCGGGCCCGGGGGCGGGCGGGGGGTGCACAGCAACAGTCACGGAGGCCGAGGCCGTCACGGTGGTGATGGGCTGGCAGTAGCTGGGCACGGAGCCGCCCGTGGCAGTGAACGCTGGGTGCCGAGGGTTGTGAGAGCGGGCTCCCCGGGGGCCCGTGCGGTCCCTATTGCTAGGGCCAGAATGCCCTTCAGTAGAAATTTCAAAAGCGTCTCTGCGCGGTCTGTAAGGGGGCGGCCTCAGGCCCTCTCTGGGGGGTTCTCTTCGGGGCTGCTGGCCTGGCCGTCCAGGTGGCAGGGACCCTGAGTCCAGGTGGGGCTGCTGTCGAGGGTTTGAGGGTGGGTGATGTCTCGGTTCAGGATGGACCACCTGCAGAGGGCAAGGGCGGGTCAACACAGGCCAGGCGCCAGCCCCCGGCGCCGCATCACCCCCTGCTGCTCCGGCCCTCCCTTCCTGGCTCCGGCTCCAGCCTGGCCACCCACAGGCAGCTCTTCTGAACCAAGAGCTCAGTCAACCCCACAAATGGCTGGGAGTGGCCCTGGGGAGCCAGCGGGGGCCCTCCACCCACAAAAGAAAAACCCGTTCTCTTAGAACCTCCACGACGTGGCAGACGAGCGCCCTATTTGGACCCCGTGTCTAGGTTTTCTCCCAACACAGCTGGCCGGACGCAATGGCTGCTGCCCATAAATGCAGGGCTGTGGTCTAAGTTTCCACACGCAGAGTCCGCCACCCCTCCCTGCTCAGCAGAGTCAGATCCCAAGCTCCTCTTCTAAAATTGCTAAGTGTCCAGCCCTGGCTCACCCAAATGCGGGTCGTTGCCAGGACTGACTGTCTATACCTACACCGCTGAATGTGGCAGCCATTAGGGACATGTGGCCATTTACATTTAAATTAACTAAAATTTAAAACTCAGCCCCTCAGTCGCACTAGCCACGTTCCAAGCGCCCAACAGCCACATGCGGGCAGCGGCTACTGCGCTGGAGCGCGCAGAGAGCATCTGCATTGTCCCAGAGAGTTCCACGGGGCAGCGCTGCTCCGTCCCGTTGTTAGGAATCTGGTTTCTGGGTCTCTGTACAAAGCATGGAGCAACACAGTGGCCACATCAATCAAAAGGACCGTGACCAACTTCAAAGTCGTTCAGCTTGTACCTATTTTTAGGCTCCCGCTGAACAAAACCAGATTCACACTGCAGCTCAGCAGGCGTCGTCACGGGGGGTAAGAGGAGGAAAATTTGGGTTATTTGGTTGGCCTCCCTCCCATTCACGGAAGGGCTGCTCTGGCCTGGGACTGGAATACCCATTTCCTGGAGGGACAGCAGGAGGCCCTCCGTCGGAGCAGCACAGGGCTTAGAACCTTCCTCGGGCTTTGTGTGCTGTGCTCCAGGCCTGGGGGGCCGAGGCCACCCTGGGGAGCATGGTGGCGGCGGGTGGGGGGGACGCAGCTGGGGCTCTCATGGCCTCTGAGAAGAGGCTCCCAGGCCGCTCATGAATTTTCCTGAATTACCAAAGGCTGGCTCTCAGCTTCTCTGCTCCTTCCGGCCACCCAGAGCATGAGCCTGGAGCCACAGAAGCTTCTGGTGAAGTTTTAGACGGTAACAATGGAAATACTTTTGTACCGAGGGCAACTGAAGGTAACAGAAGTGGGAGGGAGGAAGAAAATCACTTCTGCTGGCAGTACCAACAGCACTGCCCTTTTAAATAAGTATCATCCTCAAACGACGTGTAGCTTTAAAAAAAGGCTGGCGGGGGGTGGAGGGGAGGGGAGGCACCTTTATCTCTGGCCCTGAGCTCAGATGCTACTTGGCTTGAACAAGCTACATGCTGGCGCTTTGTGCAGACACTGCTACCCGCCCCTGCCCATTTCCATCCATGAGATACACCAGATGAAATTCACATTTCTATACCTTGAGAAGAGTCCAAGAGGGGCAATTTCATTCCACTTAACCTGTTGGG